GGGTATCTTCATTCCTTCATGTGGTCGGTCGGCAGAGGGACGGCAGCAGCGCCGTCCGGAGTCGCGACACGGCTACCCATAATCCAATCCCTGCTGCTACTAGTGGGACCATGCTCCTGGTGTCAGCCAGTCTGGGCGTGTTTTAGGCGGAGATGCAGAAAATGAGTTCAATTTCGATTTTCTGCACTTGTCCACACACGCGGCCAGATTCAGGCGTTCAATCCAATCCTCTTTGCTAGTGGGACCTCACCCCAGATGGAATCCCTTCGAAGGGGCCGCCAGATAACGCGAAGGTCATCGCCTCTGGTCTGCTGCTCGCCGTACAGCGGAAGTGGTTGTGGTTCACCAAGGCCAGCTGGCCGTAGGACCACTCCGACCCTCTCTGGTCCCTTTCACGGTTATATTCAATCATTGAAAATTCCCTGGTTTGAGATCGTGCCGTAAAGCTCGATCTGGTTCCGATATCGTTAAGGACTGCAGACAATCAAAGAGGGGGAGGAGATCTGTAGCACACACACACACACACACACACACACACCCACACCCACACCCACACAGAGAGAGAGAGAGAGAGAGAGAGAGAGAGAGAGAGAGAGAGAGAGAGAATTGCGATGGTATTCTCCGGTCACACAACTCTGAAGGCGTCAATTGTGTTGTTCAACGAAGGGGAAGGTGGTCTGGTGAAGTGGGTAAGGCTATGTTTCCCCATTTTCCCCACTCTTCTGCTCCTCTTCTTCCCTCTGCTCTGTCTGTTTCTCCCCTCTCTTCCACCTTCTTTCCCCCGCTGTTGATGTTAGTTAGCATCCGTCATCCCATTGGCTTAGGTGTTTTTTGACGTGGAATTGCCCTCCTTCTCCTCCTCTCCTCCCCTCCTCCTCCACCTTCTCGTCATTCGTCGTCCCTCCCTCGTGTTGATTCTCTGTGAGGTGCCCGAGAGTGTGCATCTTGGTGAGACTTAGTCTCGGCGAGCCGATAAGAGGCTATCCACCTACCTCCTCCCTCTCCCTCACCGGGCGTCCGGGGAGCAATAACTGGTGATTCACTCTCAACCTGCCCACCCCCGTGCCCCTCCTCCCCCCCTCTCTCTCTCTCTCTGTGCTTGTGAGGGGACAAGTGTTTCAATCTCAACCCCATTTCCGCTCCGTGTGGCCCCTTCCCGTCGAGCTTCTCTCTCTCTCTCTCTGTGTTCTCTCTGTTTCTGCCTCTCTCTCTCTCTCTCTCTCTCTGTGCTTGTGAGGGGACAAGTTTTTCAATCTCAACCCCGTTTCCGCTCCCTGTGGCCCCTTCCCGTCGAGCATCTCTCTCTCTGTGTGTGCTCTGTCTCTCTCTCCCCGCTACATTTCTCTCTCCTCGTCCTTTCTGGGCGCGTGTTTCTTGATGGATTGACCTGAGGGTAAGGTATTGTGAGGCGGGTTTTGGGAGTACCGGTGGAAGGCGGATATAGCGTGGACCGCGAGCGGCTCTGCCTGACGCGGTGTGTATGTAAGTTATGGAGGCCGATGCAGGGGTGGTTTTCCCCAACTCTCACGTCGTCGGCAATGTGTCAGCAGGCGCAGGGGTGATGATGATGGCGGAGGCAAGTGCCGCTTTGACTCCCGGTCAAACTGCTTTCTTCCTTGCGTATTTCCTTATCTTGCTGACGTGGCTTTACACCGAGTTGTTGAATGTGGGCTACCTGAAGTCGAATGGGAACGGGGGGGGGGG